CAGTGGCCGCTCCCAGCCACCGCAGCCTCGACCTGCTGGGCTCCGGTGATCCTTCTGCCTCAGCCTTCCAATAGCCGGAATTATAGGCATGCACTACCACACCCGGCTGATTTTTTGATTTATTGCAGACATGAGGTCTCGCTGCCCAAGCGGGTCTCGAACACGCGGGCTCAGGCAATCCACTCACCTCAGCCTCCCAAAGGTGCAGGATTACAGGCTGAGCCACCGAGCCCAGCTGTAGTGCCACTTTTGATGTAAATCAAGTGACTAAGTACTGGCAGGTTTCTTTCTGGACTCTTTCTGTTCCTTCAGGTATTCGTCTGTTAGTTGTTGCCTTAATTTCTGGGTATTAGAGTAACTCTCAATGTCTTGTAGCATAAGTCCTCCAACTTTGTTTTTCCTCGAAATTGCCTATTCTAGAAGTCTTGCTTTCCATATAGATTCTAGAAACAGCTTGGCAATTTCCACAAAATGAAATAGTGAATCCTGCTGGAATTTTCCTCTGGGATGTCACTGAGTCTACAGATAAATTTACATAACGTTGTTGTCTTTATAATACTGTATTTTCAAAGCAATAGTCCAACTTATATTTAGTGTAATTATGAATGATATGATATTTACCAGCTTATTTTGTGCTCTCTGCTCTGCTTGCTCTATATTTCTTTTTCTCTCTTCTTGTTGCTTTTGGGTTTTTTTTTTTCTTCTTCTTCTTCTTTTTTGAGTTGGAGTCTCACTCTGTCACCCAGGCTGAGTACAGTGGCATGCTCTTGGCCACCGCAGCCTCGACCTGCTGGGTTCAGGCGATCCTTCAGCCTCACCCTTCCAAATAGCTGGAACTACAGGCATGCGCCACCATGCCCAGCTAATTTTGATTTATTGTAGAGACAAGGTCTCACCAACTTGCCCAGGCTGGTCTCGAATCCCTGGGCTCAGGCAATCCTCTCGCCTCGGCTTCCCAATGTGCTGGATTACAGGCTTGAGCCACCACGCCTGGCCCATATGTTTCTCTTCCTTGACCACACACTCTGCTCCCTCTCAGTTCATGGTCCTCAACAAAAGCAATTCTGTTGGCTCAGAACATTCTCCCATTATCCTTTGCCAATCCCACTCCTTCTAACAAAATACTCATCATACGGGTCTAATGACTCATGTGGTGGCCAAGGCCTTGCTAGAGGTGGCTTGGCAATGACAAGGACTGTGTCTATCTTGGCCCCAGGGTACCCCCCAGCTGCCAGCACCAGGTACACAGTTGGAAGTCTACAAAGAGATCAGTGAGGGACCTCTTCCACTCTAAGGCAGAAAAAGCAAAGGAAGAGCCTCCATGGGAGTTATCCTACTTCCTGCCAGCCACATATGACTTGGTGACCTAAGTTCACCAACAAGCCTTGGGAGATCGGGGTGCTCGAAGCCAGAGAGAAACACTTAGGTTGCTGGAACCACTCTGCAAGTGGCCATGGCATTGGGTTCTCAAAGTTGCATTGACAGAGCTGCTTACAGCCCTCAACAGTTTGCCTGTTCTGGGTGAAGCACGCTCTGCAGAGGAGAATGGGAGGAGTTCTCCAACCCAGAGCTTGCCTCAACCCAGCCATTCACCTGCAGATGAATTCCGCAATCTTCCCCCAACTCCATCCCGGGGCCACCCTCCCTGTGGGAGTCATAAGGACCGCTCACCTGCATGCATGATGTCCTTAAGCAGGAACGGGCCCCTGGGGGGAGATACAGAAAGAAACCAAGTCAAGGGAAGAATGCCTTTCCCAGCGCCTACTGTCCACACACACACACACACACATACACACACACACACACACACACACACACACACAACACAACCATGCGCACGCAGACTCCAGAAGCTAAATATTCTTGCTCCCCCACAGGTCGAGGCTGAGGTGGCATGAGTAGCGTGCCTCTGCACTCCAGCCTGGGCAGGAGAGTGAGACTTTGATTCAAAAAAAAAAAAAAAAAAGAAGGAAAGAAAGAAAAAGAAAAGAAAGGCTGGGCACAGTGGCTCACACCTAGAATTCCGGCACTTTGGGAGGCCAAGGTGAGAGGATCGCCTGAGCCCACGGGTTCGAGACCAGCCTGGGCAACTTGGCGAGACCGCATCTCTAAAATAAATACATAAATAATTAGCCGAACATGGTGGCGTGTGCCTATAGTTCCAGCTACTTGGAAAGCTGAGGCGGAAGGATCACCTGAGCCCAGCAGGTTGAGGCTGCGGTGGCCATGAGCATGCACTGCACTCTAGCCTGGGCCACAGAGTGAGACTCTGATCCAAAAAATAAAGAAAGAAAGAAAGATTCTTGCTCCATTGTGCACACATGAGGAAGGGAAGATCAAGGGCGGGAAGGTCGCTCACCCCACTCATTGTACAGGCAGCCAAGTCCATCTCTATACCACCTCCTGCCCAAACCCTTCCATGGCTTCCTGTTGCCATTAGGACAGAGTCCCCACTTAGCACACCTAAAAGCCCTGCTGGATCTGGCCTCAGCCCCCTTTTCACACTTCTTGCCCCTCCATAGAGCCCTTTCCCTTCTCCATTCCACCTTCACTCAACTCCTTTGACTTTCTCCAAAAAACCAGGGACTCCCCATCAGGTCTGGGCTGGGCACCCTTCTCCACTTCCTTTTCCCAGCTAGTGTCTTCAGCTTCATCTATTCAGGTTTCAACTCATATGCTAAGAGCCTTCTGGGTCCCCTAGACAGCTACGAGCCACCTGGGCACCTTGTTCATGTCTCTTTGTTCACAGTATCTGGCGTCCCCACTAACCAACAAGTTTTGTAAGAGCAGAGACGGCATCTGCCTTGTTCTCTGCCAATTTCTATGTCTAGCACAGCGCCTGGCGCACAGTTAATGTTCAATGCGTGTTTGAGCTCATTATTATTTTTCTCTTTTTTCCTTTGAGTTGGAGTCTCACTCTGTCAGTCAGTCTGGAGTGCAGTGGCACGCTCACAGCCACTACAGCCTTGACCCACTGGGCTCAGGTGATCCTTCTGCCTCAGCCTCCCAAGCAACTGGAATTATAGGCATGCACCATTACACCCGGCTAATTTTTTGATTTATTGTAGAGATGAGGTCTCACCAAGTTGCCCAGGCTGGTGTCGAACCCGTGGACTTAAGCAATCCTCTCACCTCGGCCTCCCAAACTGCTGGGATTACAGGCATGAGTCACTGCTCCTAGTCATATTTTTCTCTCTTCTTCATTTGATCATTGGTTCTTTCATCAGCTCATCTTATCACTTATTTCTTTATCATTTATTCATGTGTAAACTCATTCCCTGAATCATTTACTCACTTCACAAATTTATAGCTTAGCTTTGGAAAGATCATAGATTTGCTGTTATGGGCTGGGCACAGGGGCTCACGCCCGCAATCCCAACACTTTGGGAGGCCAAGATAGGAAGATCACTTGAGACCAAGAATTCGAGACCAACCTGGGCCTTGTCTCCACAAAAAATTTAAAAACTAGCTGGGCCTGGTGGCGCACACTTGTAGTCCAGCTACTTGGAAGTTGGAGGTGGAAGGGTTGTCTGAGCCAAGGAGATTGAGCCTGGGAAACAGATTGAGACTTTGACTCAAAAGAGAAAATAGATTTGCAGTCATGTAGTCCCAAGTTCAAATCTCAGCTCATCCTCCTACTAGTCTAGATGAGCTCAGGCAAGAGACTTTTCCCCTCCGGGAAAAAGTTCCCCTCATCTCTAAGACAGGGAGCATAAAGTCTTCCAACTGCAGTGGTTGTAGTCACAGTGTCTGGCACGGAGCACGCGACCCACGGAAGCCCTCCCCTAAACGATAGCTACTTGTGTCATGACTGTTCGCCAGGCACTGTGGGCAGAGGAGAAAAGGCCTCTGACACCCAGTGGGAGCTGCCTTCATTCCAAGTGAGTAGTTCCCACACAGCTTTGCATCTGTCTTGGAAGCAGGGAGTGTTTCTTTTACTGTCAGCACCAGAAATGATTTTACCCTGAAGCTAATGAGTTTAAAATCTGGTGGTTCACCAGGCTCGGTGGCTCAGCCTGTAATCCCGCACTTTGGGAGGCTGAGGTGAGTGAATTGCCTGAGCCCGCCGGTTCGAGACCCGCATGGGCAACTTGATGAGACCTCATCTCCACAATAAATAAAAAATTAGCCGGGCGTGGTAGCACGCACCTATAGTTCCGGCTACTTGGAAGGCTGAGGCGGAAGGATAGCTGGAGCCCGGCAGGTCGAGGCCGCGGTGGCTGGAAACGGCCACTGCACTTCAGTCTGGGTGACAGAGTAAGACTCCAACTCAAAAAAAAAAAAAAAATCTGGTGGTTCCTTGAGTTCACAGTCCAAAGCTGTATACTTAATTTCATGTTCATAATGTCATCTCCCTTTACTTAAAGAGGGGCCTGGGTCTTCCCTTAATCATTTCTCCCGCGTGAGTACGAGTGTGCACAGATACTCACGTGAACACATACAGGGGTCAGAGTTACCAAAGGGAGGCATTTTCAACCTGGAAAAATACAGGCTGGTGCACCTATGAGGCAGTGAATAGGATTTTCTTTTCCTGTTTTTCTTTTTTGATTCGGAGTCTCACTCTCTGTCACCCAGGCTGGAGTGCAGCAGCACACTCACGGCCACTGCGCCCTCAACCTGCTGGGCTCAGGCGATCCTTCCACCTTAACCTTCCAAGTAGCTAATTTTTTGATTTACTGTAGACATGAGGTCTCACCATGTGGCCCAGTCTGGTCTCCAACCCGCAGGCTCAGGCAATCGCTTGCCTCGGCCTCCTGGGATTATAAGCTTGAGCCACCATGCCCGGGCTGTGAGTAGGATTTTCAAACACCTAACTTGCCCGGGCTGAGGAAGGGAGTCACCATTTTTGCCTCCCCCCCCCGCAAAAAAAAAAAAAACCCATCAGATGCACACCACCAGGCCACTGGGCAGAAGGCCTGGCTGACCCTTCCTCTTCCAAGTGCTCCTATGCCCTCTGTCCTCTTCCATGCTGCAGCAGACAGGCAAGGCTTCGGAGCTGCCTGGCAGTGACTGGGACAGCCAATGGCTTGCCCTCCACCAAACAGACATTGTACATTGGGGGAAGTAGTGGCTGTTGAGGGACCTGGGGGGGACACAGGGGAGCTAAAGGAATGTACTACTTACCACTGACAGCCATGAGCTGCATATTGGCCTTTGCTCCCAAGTCCCAGGGCCCCAAATGGGGAGGGCAGAGCACGGCCATAAAACAGCGAGTGCTGTCCGAGACAGAAGGAATCGCTGGCTGACTGCCATCCTCTCTCCCCCACATCAGTGAACCCTTCCAGGCCCTGGACAAGGGTTGCTAGAGCCTTCAGGGCTGCAGCTATCAACAGATTGTACTGTATACCACTAAGAACACCCTTACTAGACGCATGGGCCTGTAATGAGTTTGGCACTCATTCAAGTATGTGCATAGACACATACAACACCTGACGCTGGAGCACCTCAGACACAAAGAAGCCGTTTCTCACAAATAGGACCCTTCCTTTTTTTTTTTAAGTTGGAGTCTCACTCTGTCACCCAGGCTGAAGTGCAGTGGCATGCTCACTGCCACTGCAGCCTCAACCTGCTGGACTCCGGCAATCCTTCCGACTCAGCCTTCCAAGTAGCTGGAACTACAGTTGTGAGCCATCACACCCGGCTAATTTTTAAATTTAGAGACGAGGTCTCGCCAAGTTGCCCAAGCTGGTCTCAAACCGTGGGCTCTGGCAGTCCTCTCATCTCCACCTCCCAAAGTGCTGGGATTGTAGGTGTGAGCCCCCACCCCCAGCCAATAGGACTCTTCTCCTCCATTGAAGAAGCTGGTTCTACTACTCAAGCCAGGATCGTTCTTAACTGCTCTCTCACCTGCTGCATCCAGTTTTGGACAAGTTCTGTTCATTGTTTCCAGAACAGTTGTCAAATCTCTCCCCAACTCTATCACCACTACCAGACTCTAGTACAGTCCCCATTGCCTCAGGCCTGGATCTTGGAATTGCCTACTCAGCAGGGGTCCCTGTGTCTAGGTCAGCTCCTAGCAAACCATTTTCCAAAGTAAGCCTCAAAGATCTACCTTGAAAATTGCAGGCAGTAGGGCCGGGTGCGGTGGCTCACACCTATAATCCAAGCACTTTGGGAGGCCGAGGTGAGAGGATTGCCTGAGCCCCCGGGTTCAAGACCAGCCTGGGCAACTTGGTGAGACTTCATCTCTACAATAAATCATAAAATTAGCTGGGCATGGGGGTGCGTGCCTGTAGTTCCAGCTACTTGGAAGGCTGAGGCAGAAGGATCACCTGAGCCCAGCAGGTTGTGACTGCGGTGGCCACAAGCGTGCCACTGCCCACCAGCCTGGGCAACACAGTGAGACTCCAACTAAAAAAAAAAAAAATTGCATGCAGCAGCCAGGCACAGTGGCTCACTCCTATAATCCCAGCACTGTGGAAGGTGAAGGCAAGAGGATTGCCTGAGCCTGAGGATTCAAGATTAGCCTAGGCAACTTGGCAAGACCTCGTCTCTATAGTAAATCAAAAAATTAGCAAGGGATGATGGCACGCACCCATAGTTCCAGCTACTTGGAAGGCTGAGGATGAAGGATCACCTGCAGTAGCCATGAGTATGCTACTGCATTTCAACCTGGGTGATGGAGTGAGATTCTGACTCAATCAATCAAAGAAACTGCATGCAAACCAGGTGCCATGGCTCACACCTGTAATCCTAGCACCTTGAG